TTTAATGGAACTGTGAATGCTGGACACCTGTGGAAATTCAGAAAAATCTGAAGGTATTTTCTTTATTGTAACCGACATTTTGGCAGTACAGTAAAATCATGTGTCAAGTATTTTGGGGGAAAAAATATTTGCTCTTTACCTTTGCATTTAGGAAGGAGCATTTTAATAATGTTTATTCTTTTTATTCTTGTATTTTAAAATAATTATCAAAATAACTGCATTCAGCTCTCTTAACGATATTGGGTACTATATGGTTGGTGTAAGAGCTCCCCCTATAGGTTTTATTTTAAGTATCTGCTTAGGAAAATAAAAAGGAAATTCCACTTCTTGTCAGTGCTTTGTAAACATATTCATTTGACCAACATGACCTGATTTTTAAATGTAGTATTCTATAGAAAGAAAGCCGTCTATTTTACTAATGGTCAAAATGTGAGACTGTAATGTTATAGATTTATTTATTTTTACAAAAAATTATACTTTTAATAGCAGTGTGGTAAACTGCATAACGTAAGCTACTGTTATATAAAGGAACAAAACAGCGTTTTCACTTTTGTAACTACTTTAATACCTGTAGATATCAGAGCTCTCAATCTACAGAAGTAGGGCTCACACAGCAGTATGAATTTCTCATAAACTGAGTAGTGTTCACATCTTTCAGTAAGGACTTCTGCCTTTTATGGCACCCTGATGGGTATGGTACTCATGTGACAACTACAGAAATTCCTAGTAAGGAAGAGACAGGATATTTGAAAGTAGTATTTTATATACAACTATCAACATAATTTAGCAGAGAGAGCAAAAAGGAAAATCAGAGCCAAATTATCTGCTTGTTTTACCTAGATATCAGCAAGTGTTTCTAAGTTGAATAAGTAATCCTACAGACCTTGTGATGGAACACGACGTTTTTGGTAGTAATAAGCTACCTATCTATCTGTCTTTAATACAGTTTTTAAGTCTTAAAAACAAAAAAAAATCTTTGTGGGAAGGAACGTGTTCTCTTAGTTCAATGTGAAAATCAAAGCCTACTGTACTCTCGTGAAGATCAGGCAGGAGTTACACCTGACCGTTGTTAAGCAATGTGGCAGCTTGCATGGACCTATAGACTTCAGCCTGCATGCAAAACATTTGCATAACACGTGCACCCATCTCACCGTTCACCCTTCTTATGTATGCATAAGACATGTCTTGCTGCTTCACTGGCAAGTGAGGAGGCTTTCTCAGAGCCATGAAATTCCATAAATTCTGTCTTTGGTCCCTTCCTACATGGGCTGTTCTCTGCATTCTTAGGAAAGGCAGCAGCACTTCCCTGTCAGATGAAGTATTTCCAAGAAGCCACAACCTGTGTATCCAAATCCTTTGAAAATTACCAGTAACTCTTCATTTTACCTGAGTGGATAGGGAAAAGCAAGAAAATTTCTGTTCCACAATGGATGTGGGAAGTGAGCACAGTTCCTGTTCACAGTCCTGTGGCAGCTGTGCTTGGAAGCCGATGGTGAGGTGCTAGTCTTTGTCTCAGGTGCAAGCGGTCAGTGCTGTGCTAGCTATCATATGCCCACCTGCACATAAGCTATTAAACAGCTCTGTTGAGAACACGATTTAGCACAGTACTGTATAAGATTCTGTTATATGGGATTACTCTTGAAAATCTTTACTGGTCTTCATAAAGAAATCAGCCAGACTAACTGAAGCAGCTGACTGGGGGGGATGAGAGGGGTGATATTATCAGTTTGCTTGAACTTTTCTTTGTAAATAAATTTTTTTAGCATAAATGCTGCCAAAGTAAGCACTTGTAAATAAATATTAATTCAGTATATAGCTAATTACTATTAGTTAATAATAAACATATCATAACCAGCATTCTGAAAGTTATGTCTGTACCAGTCCCCCATTCAGCATTTCTCATGACGTGACATTGAACATACAGAATTAGAAATATGGAGAATTGAAATTTATAGCACTTTAAAGAGAAATTTTAAGCCCTGTACACAGAATTCAGGGATTGTGAAAGAAATCTTTATGTGCATTCACATCAGCATGAAAATGAGGCCTATATACACGCATAGGAGAAAATTGTTTGGTTGCAAGCTAAAGGAATTCTTGTGGTCATTATTGTAATTAGATACTAATTAAATAGTTTGAGACAATCAGCGAGGGTACTGGCCTGGAAATAATTCTCGTTGTGTAAAGTTTTCATAATTAAAAATATTTTTCTTGGATGTCACTGCTGTTACTCTGGATTTGCAATTTAGAGAAACATTTTGCCTGCAGTCCATTACAGATGCTCCATATTCTTGAGAAAACAAGAATGGGTCAGAACATGCATATATCATCAAAGTGTCTACGTCGTACTTCACTCTATTCATAAATGTACTTTGCAAGAAAAAGACATTAGATTTACAAGAGCAAAAAAATATGTATTATTGTGCTTTTGAATACTCTTCCAGCTCATTTGTAAATAGGAAGCCACTGAAAAATTTGAATTGGCTCATGAGCATCTTATGTATAATTGCTGCTGCCTTAGTCTGCACAATTAAAAATTCTGTCACTAAGAGTAAAAAAGTTTTAAAGGTTTTCACCATTTTTGCTTCATAGAAATTTGATAGCCATATGAGGCATGCAGATCCTGAAATCTTTTTGCCAGTGACAGCTAGAAAGTAACATTGCAAATTGTAAATAAACATTGCAAACTGAGTTTCTGTAATAGCCATGACTTCTAAAAGATCTGAGTATTTCTAACATTTTAAATAGTGCAGTGAAAAATAGGACAGCCATAATCCAATTTTATCTAAGTCTGCTACAAGGAAATTATCAATGTAGTGATTACTCCTCTTAGTGATAGACTTGTGGTTAAATAATACTAACTCTCACAAGAACTAGACAGATTCAGCGTGACTTGCATGAGATAGTGGAGTAGAACTGCATCTCCATTTCAGAGAGAGTACTTATCACTGAGGAGAAAAAGGTCATCATAACCATCCAAGGTGGCTATAATTTTTTGTGGGCTCCACTTTGCGCAAGAACGTGGAGGAATCACCTTCAGGTGGAATAGGCAAATCAATGGCTTCAGGACAGAAGAAACCCTGCTCTCAAAAAAAAAGTTTGGGCATCTAGGAAACTCAGACAGAAACTGAATGTGCTTGTGTGTATATTTGAGGGGCTCCAGGACTTAGGTATTACATGAAGTAAGCAATAGGGTTGATGACCAAAATTCTGGACCTGGATCTTGAGGATGGAAAACAAATGTGATTCTACACTCCTTACGTTTTTTGTAATCCCTGTATTGGTAAGGACAGCTCAAAGGAAATTACTGTATATATGCTTATTGAGAAAAAGGCTGCAACAGTAAGTGATGGAAACAATGGGGTGGAGGGGGGAAACAGCTGTATCAGTCTACTGCAATTCATGATACTGAACTTGGGAGTAATGTTCATTGAAAATTTAAGCATATTTGATACAAAAGTGTATAAAAAAATCTTATCTGTAAGGTAAAAGGTAGGACAAATCAGGATAGTAAAAACCTCCAACAGTCCACATATTATAATGTATTATAAATATGTATTATGTTGATCATTTTGGCTGGACCCTGGATCTAGGTATAAATAATGATCTCTTAGGTCAGAAAGAACCCGTTTCACTAGTGTAAATAAACATTGTCTGCTGTAGGTCTCGAAGCCTTTGGCCTAGATTGGTATTAAGAAATTATTTGACCATATCAGCCCAATGTAGTGTTGCTGCAAATAAATTATCAGATAAGTTCCTTTGGTTCCTGTTAGGAAATCCTCACATCTACTTTTATTTCATATATAGGGGAATCTTTTGAAGTGTAAGTTTAACCACAGGAAATGCAATCACTTTAAAGAATGCTTGCAATCTTTTTATTTTGAAAGCTTCCTTTATATTATTTGTAGGCTAGAATTCTGTAAGTGTGCTGAATTTTTTTTTATTTTTTAGCAGTAGTATTCAGAAGTACCTTTAGGTTCAGCATAGTTAGAAAAGTAGGTTCCTCTAGTTATTATAAAAAGTCAGTTTTGAGGGATGTCTTGCCATTTAGCATCACTATGTAGGAAATGAGTAGTAAGAATGTCTGAAAATGAAATCTTTGAAATCCCAGTCAATCTTAACTGCTTACTGCCCTATTGAAGGTACCTTCACAATGAGCATTGAAAACCTAATTATCAGGGATTACTGGCTAAATCACTTCATTAGCACTTACCAAAACAGTTCTACAGAATAGTTTATAATAAAGAGTGTTTGTACTTGTGTAGCATACCTAGCCTACAAAATTGATATTTAATGTCTGATTTTATAACCAGGCATGAGAATTGGTTCCTGGATCTGGGTAAATTATTTTCTTAGTTTCCTGAGCAATTAATTGGAGGTGTACAATTACTCTTGGTTTCTGTTTTTGTTTTCAAGATTGTTACTACTTCTCTGAAAAAAAAGTCTTGTGCATCCCATTCTCCTCACAGTGCAGTATCACATAACTACTAATTTAAACATGGGGGGAAAACAAATTCAGGCAGAATATATAGAACTAAAACTGACTTGTTTCTGATGAGAGTGTCTTTAAAGTAGATTGATTATGCCTGATCCAGAATTTCTAACCTCGACTGTTAAAGTGGCCCTGGTGTCTCCTGTGTCTGTATCAAGACCAAGGGTAACTGAAATTGGATGGCAAAAGAACTCTTCAGTCTCACAGGAAATACTTATCCAAAGCTTTGAAAGAGGAGAAAATAGTCACTTATTTACCCCTTTTCTGAAAATATGCAGAGGAGACAATAAGGACATGTAATCTTACTGAAGACAGTCCAGCTTTAGCTGTGTTAAGCCTAGAGCTTTATAGATCTAAAGAATTGTTAGTAAATACAATTCAGTAGAAACTGCTTAATAGTTTGTGAAGCAGATTCTGATGTGTTGCTTGCATCAGTAGGTAAGTGGATTTGATGACCCTTGCATATTTCTAGTCTCTTTCCTAACTAAATTATTCTCTTTTGCTACAGCCCAGAAGATGGTGAAATTCATCCTGAAATCTGTAGGCTGTACATCCAGTTGCAGTGTTGCTTAGAAATGTACACAACAGAAATGCTGAAGTCCATATGTCTGCTAGGATCACTGCAGTTTCATCGGAAAGGTATTGAATTGCACAAATATTCAGATGCTGATTTTGAAAAAAACCCAATATTTTACAGCAATCTGGGTACTCATGAAAGACAAAGCACTGTTTTGGCTGGGGTAGAGTTAATTTTATCAACAGTAGCTAGCAAGGGGCTATGTTTTGGATTTGTGCTGGAAACAGGGTTGATAGCACAGGGGTGTTTTAGCTATTGCTGAACAGTGCTTGCTGTCAAGGCCTTTTCTGCCCCTCACTCAAACCCACCAGTGAGAAGGCTGGGGGTGCACAAGGTGTTGGGAGGGGACACAGCTGGGACAGCTGACCCCCACTGACCCAAGGGATATCCCAGATCATATGGCATTGTGCTCAACATATGAAGAGGGGGGAAGATGAAGAAGTGGGAGGACATTCAAAGGATGGCATTTGTCTTCCCAAGTCATCCTTACACATAGTGTAGCCCTTCTTTCCTGGGGATGACTGAACACCTGCCTGCCAATAAGAAGTGGTGAATGAATTCCTTATTTTGTTTTGGTTGCATGCACAGCAGAGTCTTCTGAGATATTAAACTGTCTGTATCTGAACCTACAAGTTCTCTCACTTTTACCCTTTCAGTAGACTCCCTATCCCACTAGGGGTGAGCAGTTGAGCAGCTCTGTGGGGCTTCGTTGCCAGCCAATGTTAAACCACAACAAGCACCAAACTATAAAATGAACTATACCTATATATAGGTTTTCAGCTACTAAAAAAAGGGCTCTTTTTCTCTTTATCATTATTCTTGCAGAAGCGTGTCTTATCAGGCATGTATCACTAATGTCCTTGCGGTTTAGAAGTCTGATTTTTTTTTTTTAAAAAAGAGTAGTCCCTGAAGTTTTAGCTGTCATTAGTCAGACCAGTGGGCAAGCTTAGTAATTTTATTAGAGGTATTTGCTGGGTATAATATTTGAGGTCAATGATAGAGCTGTATGGCATGGTTTTAGTACTAAACTGATTCCTTACTATCTCTGTTTATTTATCCAGCAATGCTATTTTATAGTTGTCTGAGTTTTGGCCAGGACAAGGTTAATTTTTTTGCAATAGTTGGGAGGCATCAGGACCTTAATGTTATTCAGTACCACCTCATGTCACTGCCAGGGGTAGGGGAAAGGGACTCTCAGGCTTATGCGGAGGAGAGCATGGCTTCTGCTCAAAAAACGTGGCAGGGAGCAGGGAGTCATTCACTTCACTTGTCTTGGGGTTGGTGGTGAGCATTTTTGCATGTGAATCACCCTCTCTTTTTCATACTTTTCTTAATAGTATTGTTACTGTTCCCATCCATTTTCTTATCTCATTGCTGTTTCCAGTAAGTTGTTCTTATTTCAGTCTGTGAACTTCACTTTTTGTGCCTTGGTTTCTCAACTCCATTCCACCTCATCAGGGAGGGGAAAGAGAAGGGGAAGAGAGAGAGAGAGAGCGGTGTGTGATTTGGCAGTCTCAGTGGGGTCACTGAACCACAACAATAACAGAAGACTGATAAGTGTCATTAAAAAACTGCCCACTTTTATAGAAGTAGTTAGTAGATTTGGAACTGAAATCTACCTCGCAGAGTATTTTTGCACACAGAGGAGATGTCCTCACTTCAGTGAAAATGCATCTCTAATGATTTCATATTTGATTAGCCTCCTGAAAGGAAGATGTAGAAATGCTGATAATTTACTGGATAGTTTACTTAGTAACCTCATTGATCAGTGATGGCACATGCTGATTAGGACTGTATCTGTGCTGATTGTAACTACTCTTTCCCTAGATAATATCTCAGCAGAATATACTAGGTAAAGACAAGACAAAACTCTGTTATGAACTGTGATAAAGGCCTTGTAATGAACCTTGTGAATTTCCTGTCACACCGAAAGGTCCTGTAATGTATTTTTTTTACATTGAGCCAGGGATATTTGGTATTTTTGTTATGGAAGTAAGAATGAGAGGTTTATAACTGCTTAACTGAGCTTCTCAGTTATTTATTTCAAGTCAAAATAAATCTATAGAACAAGAAGAGAGAGTTAACAGCTATTGTATAACAAGATGCCAGTAGCTTTCACAATGAATCATCATTTTTTAGGACAGATTTTACTACATTTCTTAGCACTGGTTACAGTTGTCAAACCATCTTCTGTAACTGCTGAAAGAAAATATCTTGAAGTGACTTGAGTAATCCCAACATGTCTTGTCTCTCCCTTTTGCTTCTGGACAGAATCTACATTAATAACTTAAACTAAACAACAAACTGTTAGAAGTCTAAAGTTGGATGAGTTGCAATTTAGTTCCTATCTGGCAGTACTTTTGATATACACTAGTTCCTCACTAGTTCCTGTGATATTGCTAGTATATAACTTTTTTACTTTTTCACCAGTTTTTCATCATCTGAATGACCATATTAAAAAAATAAATTCTTGTGTATTAAGAGTACTACCCCTATAGTCTTTGTTTAATCCATAAATGTGTATGTCTGATGTTCTTGCTGTATCTTGAAGAGCATTTCTGAAGATAATATTTTCTATTGGGATGTAATATTTTCTAGTCCTCTTACCTGTTGGACAAGTTGTTTGTTAGGTTTTTAAGTCTCCGATAAGATTTCACTAATTTATGTTCTTACTCAGGAGCCAGCAGAGGATCAAGTAGAATGACATGCAGACTGTTCTTGGCAACCTGTAGCTTATATATAATAATTATGGGTATTGGTACCTTAATCAAAATTCATCAAACAAATTATAGAACTGATAAAGCTAAGGCAGTGGGCTGATGCTCTTTTCCCAAGAGAAGCTCAGCCAGTGCTCCCTACTAGGAAACAGATGCTCTTAATGAAACACAACACAACAATTTGAGGGCTGAGCTCTGTCTTTTCATCTGTTACAGCACAGATCTTCTCATCTCTCCTTATCTTTCTTTACTACTGAACAGATATTCCTTTATTTACTGTATAGTGTATATCAAGCTTCCTGTACAGAAATTTCTTGCATATTTACAATGCAAGATTAACTTACTGCTGTCATAGAACCTTTACTAGAAAAATCAGATATTCTGTTATTTCTTTGAAATTTAATTGTCACAGTGGGGCCAAAAGACATTAATATTTGCAGCTGTGTTATACAGTAAGTAAACTGAGGTAAGTGCTCTTTAAGAATTATTTTTTTAAAAATACGTACGCCACAAAAGCCCAGTTTTGAAAATATACTATCATTCAACAGTTCAACATTCAGAAAGTTTACAAGGGGCACAAGGAGTCATGCCCAAATATCCTTAATTCAAGATTTTTGTAGTTACTAAGGTTTTGGTTACCTGATCATATATTTTGTTACTCCTTTCCACAATCCCAAGAGTCCTGGCTAACTAATACACGTATTCTACTTGAACACACATCTTTCTTTTATCCTAATTGTTTAGTATAATACATTGTATTTATTGCACACGATTCTCTTCTAAAGGCAGAATCTTTCTATTCCTCAGACCTTGCTCAGTAACTCACACACTAATAGGTGTATCTTCAGAACTGCATAAATAGCAATTTCTCCCCATTGTAAAGAGACATTAAGCTAAAAAATGCTAATTTAGAATCTGAGAATTAGAATTTAATGGAAAGTAAGATACTCTGAAGAAACTTAGGTACCTCTCTGAAGCATTTACAAAATTCAGTTGTCATTCATTTAAATGTTGTATGTGTACCTATTGACAATTTTAATTAAATAAACAAATTCTACTGTAGCTATTGAAAATTGTTGGCCTACTTTCTGTCCACGGAAGCTGCTGGATGTGATTATCATTTTTCAAAATTAACATGGAGGTTGTCAAGGTTGCACATTGAGAAAATCAAGGACTGCCTCAGAGTTCGTAAGTGCACTTCAGCATACATTGTGTACACAGCCACAAATACTTTGGGGTCAAAGGTTTTCATTGCATTTTTAATATGCAAGCATAACAGATAAAAAATCTTTACTACTTCATATATCCACAACAGTAATTCCTTTCATTGTTAGGAACTGTAAAACATTATTATAATAATGGAATAATGTGTCATTGTGGAAGTGCACACTACCAAAGTTTAATGTCTGTACATGTTTACATAGAAAACAGGAATTTCTTAGGATCATCTACAGATCTAGTTGACTTGTCGGGTTATATAATTGCTTATATCAGAAAATATTTTTTAAACCCTAGATTGTATATTGCGATATTGTATATTGTATATTAGCTAGCTGTGCAGCATTTGAGCACTTCAATATTGAAGAGAGCAAGCCCATATAACAAATCAAAGGCAAGATGGGACAATTAAAATGAACTGGAGGTGTTTTCCAGAGTTCAAAACATGCTGTAAAAATAAAGCTACATTGTCAAAGAAGTACAAGGTGAAACTGGTAGCTGTTTATTCTGAGTTTTAAAAGAATAAGTCTCTGCTCATATATAGTTACAGGAATATATTATTCTTATGGTCCAGAACCTGTTCAACCTGCTATATTGTGTGTATTCTTTAAGAATAAGTCAGTGAGACAGTCTCCAAGTTCCAAAGGTCCCAAGTGTAATTCAAGAATTAAGTACATCAGACTATTAACTATATTGTCAAATACTTTTTTTACCTCCTACACAATTCTTTCCTATTCCCCTTTTAGGTTCTCCTGTTCATGTACTTAAGCTGTGATTTATAGCTTGCACATTTTTCCTTAGTTGCTAAGTTAGAAACCTGATGCAAATGCTGCCTTCATTTTGAGAGAGGGATTCTTTCAACTTTGTTAAATGCAGATATTCCCTTCAAAGATCTTTTTAGTTCCTCTGCAGTGAAATCCAACTAGCTCCAAGGGACATATAATAAGGGGGTTTTTTCTTTTAATTTTTTTCATTCATCACAGTTTCTGTGCAAATTAGGTGATGACTAAGAGTTGGTGGATAGGGTAGCATGACAGAGGTCACCACAGAAGCAGTAAGAGGCACAACAAGTAAGACACATAAAACACTGTGGTCACAGGTTATATATGAAACCTTGCTGAACTGATAATTTTCTGCTCTTCTATTTACCCTCACTCAAGTTTGATCCTCAGCATTATTTAATTGAATTAATTTCATTTCATACCAAAGTATTTTCTGCTTCTTAAAGTGAAGGGGAAAAAAAAGAGATTAACTACTGGTAAGAAGAGGAAGAATACATCATTGCAACTGAAATTATTGAAAAATCTTTCCACTGACTAAGTTGAAAGTCAAATTTACGGTTTACATCCATTCATAAGTGTGTATTATAAAAGATATCCTTACCTACTACAGGAGGGATGAGAAGATTAAAGAGCTTTTGTTTCTCTGTAGGCTGTGACATGTGGTAGGAATGTTAAACATGAGTCATACATTATTCAAGAAAAGCCTTTATTATTAGCTGACTATTTAATTGTTTTCAAGTGACTGAGTTTATGATCTGAAATTCAAGAAAGACTTCATGAATTGCTCACAATACAACAGAATTACTGGTAAAGAGCTATTCTCAGTGGAAAAGAGATCTGTGCAGTTCATTCTGCTAAATCTGCAAAAGCTTGCCTCTGTGTTAACAAAAAGAACATTTCAGTCTCAGTGCTTCTGTTCTCAAATTGTGAAAAAGAATCTTTACTATTATTTCATCTAGTGCTTTCATCTGGTGTTATTGTTTCTTTTGAAACACCTTTCACATCCCTGAAGGATGCATCTATAGACAGGGTTGTTCTTGAGAGTATGTTGCCAAAGGTCAGGTCAGAGTTCCACCATTGCACTTCAAAATAATGGGACAATTCATTAATATCCAGTTTCAGCCTTGTGATATTGGTGGCAAATTAGATGCTTTACATGAAACCTCTTTTATGAAAAAGCAAAAAGTGAGATATTGGTAACTTTATGTTTTGTTATGGGCTTACTGTAATGGGAAAAAATAACAAATAATGAAGCTTATATGAATGAACACTGAAAACTGTACAATAAGAACTACCTTAAAATAACAGTAGAAGCTTCAGTTAAGAACAAGAAAATTTTAAGTTATACCTACAGGGTGATACAGAGAAAAACATGTAATCTGGGAAGTAGGCTTAGTCTGCTGTTCCACAAGCAACTGAGTCAGCATTCAGCATTGTAGCTTGTAACCAACAGGAAGGTCTTGATCCCTTCCTCTCTGTCTCCCCTCCCTTACAGTGCCTTCACTTCACTTCCACTATTTCTGGCCATATGATCTTCCTCTGGCACTTGCTCTTGAACATGTAAGGTTCTTGACTGATCTGACTTAAACCACTTCATCAGAAAACTTCACATTTTATTTTTCATTTGGGTAATCTTCTACCATTTGATGGGCTAAAGTGGATCACAGAAGGACTTGGCAAAGCCCAAGTTAGCAGGGGATGCCAAAGTAAGCAGCAAAGAAAGGACACAGAATATTGTTCTTTTATGGAGGGTAAACTTATTATATCAGGTCATGCACCCTCTTAGATTCAGTTAGATAATTTAGTTGGAAGGAAAGCTGGGAAAAGGGCTTCCTACTGGCTTTAAAGACTAATGAAAACATGAAGCAAGTGTCTTCTGCAGCATAAGTAACATCTCGTTTGACATCTCAGGCAAGTAGCTAAGAACAACTTTTTTTTTTTTTTTTTTTTAGCAAAGGAATAATTTACCTGAATACAACAGTTTAGAGAACTTACCCAAAAAAATTATTTTAAAATCCAGGAATTTTTAGATTTTAAAAAAGAAGGTTACATGCCTGATAGCAGGAATACTTGTGATGTGGAAGAGCAGTATAGCATGGTATGCAGCCTTGGTCTCTAGTGTCCCAGGAAAATGCGCTATGTCAGCACTGCTCTACTAGCTGGTCTTGTTCTTCATGTTCTTTGCTAAGCCTTTCAGGAATTACTTAGGTGTGTCCTGATGTAAAAATTTTTCAAATTACAAAAATTGTGAAATGAAAGACATTTCCTACTCAACGTTACGTACTAGTGGTTTAAACATTGACATTTTTTCCTCTAGTTTTAGAAAGTTTTATTTGTTACTTTCTGAGATTGTTTACTCCATTCCTGAGAGAACTCAGGGGAAAAAAATTGACTTCTTAATAACTTGTCTGGGATGCACTGCAATGTGAATTTTTTCCTTTAAATGTACTTGATGCCAGAACTGTACTTGCCACTACAGAAGGGGAACACTATCAGACAGTCCAGAAGAGATTTGCAAGGATACCAGAATATTCCACCAATGCTTAACTCTCTTGCATACTCTGCTATCACAATTCATACCCTTTGTCCCATCGTCTCCCTGACAAAAGCCCTGGAAGATCTGTCATGAAGCCCCCATTCAATTTCAACACTGAATTTCATTTTCATACAATGAGCATGAATTAGGTAAGCATCAGCATGGAAACTCAGAATACAATGCATTTGAGCTGTGAATGGTGGCAGCTGTGTAGTCATTTTAAATGACAAAGTACAAAATTTCACATTTTTGTCTTTTGTTTTCCCTCAGTATTGCTGTAGTACTAGGAGACATGGATTGCAGTGTTCTTTAGTGTCAAAGTTTCTGAAGTTGTTTCCAGAATGTGTGTTGTAGTTTCCTTACTTTTACTTTGTTCTGTTTTGTCCTCTGGCTCTTAGTTTGTGTTGCATGTGAGCCACTGGAGTTTAACTGAACCCCTTGAAATCGGTAAGAGTAACATATGGCAGCATTCTGGTGTGGTCTGTTCTCTTTCTGAACGGTTCTTGCATTCAGTACTCTTTCTCTCCATTTTTATTGTGCAAAATCAACCTCAAGGCATCAATGATATAATCTGAGTATCCATTTTAATCAATTAATAATGGGGATATATGTTTATTTAAATATTTTAAAGGAAAAGAACCTTGTGGCCCACCCAAGATTCTAGATATTAAAGTGGAAGAGAGTTCTGAAGTACCTATTTTAGAAGACATGTCATCACCAACAGATGTTCAACAGCATCTATGGCAGGTTTCCACAGATATTGAAAACACTGAAAGGTATGTGTGGCACTTTATTCCTGAACAAAATAAAATTCCATCTAGGGTTTATTTAGTCTTTTTTAATTTGACAGCCAGTGTTGCTACTATAAAAAGTATAAGTAAATCAAATAACCTCTTAACATTTCTGTTACATTTAACATAATTCAGAGCAACTTCTAAAAGAAAGGCTAAGACGAGTGACATGCTTTATTAGGCTAATTGCCAGAAGGTAACTGTCAAAAAAAGAGGGCAAAATTATATTGCTGGTGGGCCAGGCTCTCTAAAAGAAGCAGCTTTTGCCTCATCTTGAGTGGTTTCTGATTTTGTACTTGAAATCTGCTGGACTCCTGTTCTGCATTCCTAATTCAAAAGCACTGAATCTAGTTCATTTCTGCCCATAATGTTGAGTGCAAAAGCTTTAGGAGGGGAGAGGAACATAATCCGTAGGTTACCCTCTTAACTATGCAGTTGAAAAACAAAAATGAGACCCTTTAGTAGAGAGTAACCTTGATGGCCAACATTTCTTTGCAAAAATTCCTATTTCGAGGGCTTTGCATATTAATCTGATGCTGAGATTTGAATGGTTATCATGCTTATTTACGTAAAACAAAGTTCTTTTCTACTGAGAACATAACTTGGAGAATAGAACTGAGCAATTTTTTACTAGTCACATGGCTTCATTTCTAAGAACTATTTTATATGTATATGAATGAAGCAAGACCACATTGGTTTTAAATCCTGAAAGCATTAAGACATTACAAGCTTGCACACAAAATTGCTGGTCTGCTGTCTACCAGTAAAACAAGAACCTTTTTGAAATTTCTGGCCACATTCAAAACATATCCTTATGTAGTTGCTTTGGAGATAATATTTTGTTATAATATTTTCCATCATCTGCCTTTCAGAAAAATTAATGCCAGAGTCCTCCTAAGATAGGTGGGAGTGACAGCCTTGTTTTTTAAATTGTCATTTAATGTGCAGGGGACTGAAGTATCATGGATTAGCTACATGTATTATAATTTTCTTCTAAACAGTGAAACACGTTCATGGCATAAGCTACAAAATGCTGACAAGGAGTACAAAGTTGACATTAGTACTAGCTTGTGATAATTTTATGGAATATTGTGTATTTTGTCACTGGGATCACATCATGCCCACCAAGTCATTTAATAACTCAAGTGTCAGAATAGATCATAAATTTGAATCAGAAGCAACTAGTTTAGTATCAGGGTAGTGTGAAAGTGCTCCCTTATTAAATCTATTGCCCTTTCTTTTGGTATACATCTTCTGATATATGTTTGGAACCCGAATGCTTGCCCAACTGATTGTTGTATTTCATCATCATGGCTAGGCTTCGCGAACGAAGATTTAGGAAGGCTCTATCCACGTTTGTTATAAGATTGTTGTATTTATTGCTCCATTATTTCAGCATATAAAGCTATACTGTGAGCCACTCCCCATTCAGTCTTCAACTGCCGTTCTATTGTCTCTCTTTTAACTGTTGTATCCACAGAGATATGAGAGAAATGAAAAACCTTTTAAGCAAACTCAGGGAGACTATGCCTTTACCACTGAAAAATCAAGGTAGGTTTTGAATTTTCTTCATGTAAGGAAAATTACGATAATTAAAGGTTTTGACTTCCGTTAAATACAAAAAATCTAGGAGTTTTTCATAGAAATAACAAGAAGAAAAATCTAGGCAAAGTCTCTTCCCTACTGATTCATTGGAGCCCAAATTTAGTATGTGGTCTTTGGCCTCTCGAGTTTCACATGCGTATTCCGGAATTTTATAGAAACAGCATCTATACATAAAATAATAGACATTTCCTGGTGACATGAAGGCAGAAGCACAACTAATTCCCCGTGTAAGGAGTTCTTCTTTTTCAAAGGTAATGAAGATCTAAAGGGATCCTACTGAGTGATGGCATTTGCCTCACCCCTGCAAGGCTTGTAGATTCTGTGACATGCCACTGACTCTATGCAGAAAAGCTACTTGCTTTGAGATTGTTAACAGTTGCTTTTCCCAGTAGCCAGCTGTAAGGATCTCCAGCCTATGCATGTATTTAGCGATGGGCCTTCATGTTGTTGTCCAGCAGTGTTAAATACTTCACATCTGCAGGAACTCTCTTTGTTCGTGAGAATGACATTAAAAAGATAATGGTTTCCCTTTTTGATTTCTTCTTGATAAATGGGTATTTCTTAAAGTCCATGTAGTTTTGCACAGTGGCAGACAGTGACGTATGCCTAATGCGTCCCAGATCTTGTCCCAAGTAACTAAACAGTCTTGCATTCATCGTAATACAGTAATAGATGAATATGAAATAATTGGGTTCATTATACAAATAGGAGTTCACGGCAGGATGGCTTGATGGAAAACCATGTGAAAGGAAAAAGGCAATTGCTTATGATACATGATAGGTATTTACCACTGTAGAGACTGGAAAAGTGACAAAAAGTCTATGCCTATCCTAGAAGAAAGGAGTGTGCTGGAAATAAGGAAGGAAAAGACAAATTGAGGGGATGTAAAGCATAGAGAACCTGAGTTCAGAACAGAGATAAAGGCACACAGAATTCTCTGCTGCCTGGTGTCCAGGCTGCCCCTCAACACTGATCAGAATATCACTGACCACCTGTGCAGCAGGATAGGAAACATCCTAGAGTTTAAAAGCTCTGAGTCATGCCCCAGAATCAGGTAATCCTAAATGGTGTTTTTGCAGCTCTCACAGTCTCCAACTGTGATGATAGTTTACAGATGACCTCTGAGAATGGATGCCTCAGGAATGGACAGTCATACTCATTATTCATACAGTACTTAAAATTTTTGAAATAATCCAAGACCTGTAATTAATGAAAGCTAGATAACAGTACAAGTAAATAGAAAAAAACAACATTATAGATAATTAATATGGTCTGGACTGCAATTTTGATATTTATGTGAATCACAACTATTGATTATGAGATGAATGAATGCCATTGAATGTGTTGATCTTTGCAAATGACCAATCCTGCTCTCAGTAAATGAGTATTTTTCTGTTGGTTTCGGTGACAGCCAGAATGGAGTTAAGATGGCAAGCTCACAAAAGTTTTGCGTAATGTTACTGACTGCTCACAGACCAGGTTTTTATGTATGAAATTCTCTGAAGTGACAGCAGGAAAATTACTGTTGTAGTTTGTAAGACTGAGTCACAATATTAAATGATCTCTTAGCTATGTTCTTGTAGTGAAGTATTCGTGTTACAGTAGTGTCTATACTCTACAATCAATCCACATCACTGATGTAACCAGTATAGGAATATGATGAGGCATAGATCTTAGCCTGAAACCACGCTTGAAGATGGCTCAAATTCAAAGTGAACTCTAAATTTGTGAGGTGGCTCACTGACACTGTGTGAGTTAATGTATAGGCACTAATACATACATTTTGTATTAATTTAGAAGGAATTAATATAAAAGGTAGAAAGCTAACAAGTGGTAACTGTCCCAGGCAAATGTTTTTGTATCTCGATGTGCCAAGAAGTTCCTGTGTTCCAGTTTTAAATGGAAATTCTCTCAGATATGCACAAATGGCCACTCAATAGTGGAGATTTTTATGTTTAAATTAAGCCAGAATTTTACTTTAGGATTGACATTTCCAAACTTGCATGTCTGCAAGATCTCAAGCTACTTATACATTATTAATCCATGCAGGAATATTGTGCCTCAGGTATCCCAGCGGTGGAGGTGTGATTTCATTTAGGTTTCATCACTGAACTGGTGTTCTTCTTGCCAAAATGTCTGTTGTATTATTATTATGGAGATCCCGTTAATTAGCATTGTAAGACTTAAATACAAATATTGGATTATTATTATTTGCTCTATGCCTTGAACTATGGGACCTATTACATCATGGAAAGGGTTCTCAAGGATTGGAATAGGCTGCCTATAGAGGTGGTGAAGTCACCATCCCTAGAGGTGAAATGACTGTGCGTGGCACTTAGGGCTAATTGACAAGGTGGTGATTGATCAAAGGTTGGGCTCGATCTCAGAGGACTTTTCCAACCTAAATGATTCTGTGATTCTGAGATATGTAGGTGCTGCTAGGACACATAAATGATATAATCTCTTTTGTGCATTTACATGCTTGTGTTATAATGTGGGATTTTTCATCACAGATGATAGCAGCCTCCTAAACTTGACTCCATATCCATTGGTAAGAAGACGGAAGCGAAGATTCTTTGGATTGTGTTGTCTTGTCTCAAGTTAGAAGATGAAGCACAGAAGCACCAAGAAGATCATGACTTTAATTAAACCACTGTTATTTGACCACTGAAAAGATGAACATTGCTCCTCTTGATTATAAAGTACATTTTCTACACTACACTATTCATTTTGCTCTTCTGCTCCCTCCTCATCTTCAAATAAGGGATTTCACAGTGTAAAATTATGGTGATCAAAAAACAGCTGTGGAATAGATCTAGCATATTTAAAGCTTTTTAAAGTATGTTTTGCATGCTTACTTTTAATTACTCAAAGAAGACACATGAATTATGGTTCATAGATAATTTTTAGAGGTTTTTTTAATTGTTTGAATTGCTGCTAAAAGTTTGTGCATAGTACAGTATTCTTAGTATCATAATGAAATATTTGGTCATACTCTTAACAGTCTTTAAGCATAGAAAACTATTTAACAGCAAAAGTATTAAAGTTCTAAAACATTCAAACCATATTGTAACAGAATTTGTCAAAATCTCCAGTTGCTTTTTGTGCTCACATTTATATTTAGTCTTCCAATATATCTCAATTTAAAAGCTTCATAGAAAAGTATCTTAATTTATGATACACAAATCATAAATGAAAATAGGACTGTAAATACAGAGAAATCATAATAACTGCATACTGTACAATGCATAGAAGCAACAGATTTCCTTTTAAGTCAATAGTATATCTACAAGCATTTGGAAAAAATAAATAATTTATTAAAAGGAGGTATTAAAATAAACAATGTAAAACACAACACCAACCCATTTTGTTTCCAATAGAATTCAAAGCATGGTGTCTGCATATCACTAAGTCTAAAACTTATAAGGCATGCCAGAATCATCTGAGACTGTAAGATATTAAACAATTTACATTGTTAATAAAGTTTTTTATTTAATTAAATATTGTTTTGTTTCTAGTTGTATTGCTGGACTATGTTTTGCTAATTTTGCTGTCAGAGTACTACACAAAGTTTTGATAATATTTCCATTTCAAGAAGTATGTTTAGAAAGATAAAAAATATGGAGCATATATAAATACTAAAATGACAGCTAGTAGAAGCAGTAGATATGAATAGGTAGACTCAATGTACTGATATTTCAAGATGATAGGCAAGACACCAGAAATAAACTTGTGCTAGACTGCAACACTATGAAACCCATAGCAATCTGTCAATGCTGTGCACGTCAGCATACCCTTGTAGGCAATAATAGTGACTCATAGCCCTTTATTCCACCATGACCCAGCATGTCAAAAGAACCAAAACAAAGGTTTAGTGCTGGTAAGGAGGTTGTTGTGTCCTTGCCACAGGAAACACCCATACAGTTAAATTCACTGTCAGTTTTTTGGTAGGATATTAGTACACCCCCTAAGGCAGTTTGTTAGGGATAGCTGTTCACTGAACTGTATCTGGCAACTAAAAAGTTTGCTGTGACCCATTTTTCTACCAAGTTTTTCTCCTGCTGTTTGCTGAGAAAGGGTGGAAAAGCCCACACTGTCAGAAATATTAACATACTCTTTATACCAAAGACCAAAAATTCAGATCTAATTACCAGGAACAGAAGGCAGGAGTTTTTCTTCCAGAAGAGCCACACCACATTCATGTAACTGAGCTTCCAGCATTTCTCTGGAAGGATATTCTTCTTGTCAGTCAGATAAAGCAGAGTCTTTTAGTTTTTTCCAGGTTGGACTGGTCTGTTCACCTTTCACTCTCCCAGAGAGAAAATACATTTTTGAATAATCAGGCCAAGAAATAAATATTTTAAATGCAATGAGGACAAATAAATTTAAAATGCCCTTATGGAACTTGTGAGTTTCCAAAATTAATTCCATCTGAATTTAGCATGGCTAAATTCTTTAAATAGCACAGAAACAGGTAACTGCAATGTGTTTGAAGATTTCAGGTCCTGAACTATTCTTAAGCATACATATTCTTAAGCACCTAAACTGGGGAGATCCCTACGCACTCATGAAACTGTGTGCTTGTGAGAACAAATGCATTTTTAAGAAGAATGGAATTAAAATCCATAGCACAGTATTTTTTCAAAGTTAATTCTTTAAAGTCTTCTCCACATTTCTCATTAACGTTGTCCTCGTTAATCAGAGCTGTTTTCTGTAATAGGCAGCACTGACATGTTTTCATTAGGAGTCTCAAACCAAGATATGCTCCATGACTCCATCCCCACAGGTACGCTAGGTTTTGCAACTGTTAAAACTTTGGAAAAACAACTCCTGATGTCTAATGGATATTAAAAATATTGTCTAGGAATACAATCAGTAGTTACAATTAACCAATTAACTTTTGTTCATAAGTGAAAAAGACATTAATGCCAAAAAAAAAGGGGTATGAATGCAAGACTGAATATGCAGCGATACCATGAGAGGAAGGGAGAAAGAAAGTTTTACACAAGACTTAGAAGTCTTGCAATATTGGTACACAGAGAGAAATACCCATAGGTGGTCAGCGTGATACCTTTTTTCAACAATTAATTTGAAAGGAAGATGGGCAGAGTAAGCAGTAACGTGTCTAGCTGAGTACCTGCTCACACATCATCACACAGAATTTAACATAACAAATTAGGTGACAGCTTATATCTCTGTATTTTAACCATGCCTGTTGGAATGGAATATACATAAATTAGACAAATGTATAAACATTTTAATTCATTTTACAAATCTTGACATCAGTCATATCACAATGAGTTGCACAACTTGAGCAGATTCTGTGATGGATAGACTTGCATTGCACTGTATTGAAGTGTACAGTAATATGTGCATCCTAGTACCTTTTGTTATTCTGGAAAATTCAGCAGTGTCTTTTCTTCTTGAATTAAAGACTATTAAAATTTCAGTCTTTACTCATTTTGAAGCCTTTCTATACTTCTAAGCAATTTAGCAGCTCATCTCAAGCCTTTCGTCTTTATTATACCTTCTACTAATCCTAATGGACACATGCTGTAATTCCCAAGCTTTATGGCCACTTCAGGAACACTGGTGATCAAGGGTGAATGGAATGTCCTCAGTTACCTTTTAACAGATAGTGGCGAACCAAGGCCTGGTAAGTATCTGAATTGAAGAGGTGTTAAGGGATAAGTTGCTTTAGTTAGGAATGCAGAGCACCAAAATTCAAAAGGCAACAAACTCTTTTTAAGCCGCAGAACGGTAAAAGAAAGTTAATGATATTACTACAATTTAGTTTAATGGAACATGGCAATGTGGGATCAAAGTTTAAAAGCTCCCAGAATAAAATGATATGCAAATCACTTAAGAGATGATTTACAACCATTCTTTTATTTGTTTATTTTCCAAGTATTACCAAAAAAAAAAAAGACAACTTCACATTGGTGACCTCCTGAATGCATGGAAACAAGCAATTTAGGGAGAATACAGAGGAAAGCAGTAATTGCTTTCTAAAGGTTTGAACAGTTTAGTTGAAAATGTTATAGGTTAAAGGCACCATAATTCTTTTGCAGGGTAGGAAACAAGAAGCAAAAATTCCCATACCTACCAAATATGACAAGTTCCACTAAGTCTTTCTTTACTAAAACCCTGTGCAGCTCCAGGTTTTCAGATATTTCATGTCATAAAAAATACCAGTCTAAGAAGTCAAATATATATGTTCAATGTAAAGTCTAAATTTTTCACAGTAGAAGCAAAACACAAGCATACAGAAGTAGAGAGCAAATACATATTGCAGGCTGCATGCTAACCCAATATGAAAAATTAGCATGCAAAATCTGCATCTTAACTTATACAATACATAGAAGATTGTCCCTGTGACCTGTTAACTGTTCATCCCATAGCAGGCTTATTTTGGATGAGATACAATATAGAGCCATTCATTTTTCAATATAAGGTAAGCAGATGAGTATAAATTAAAGGACTTTGACAAGTTTGAAGAGCTGTTTAGACTGTGGCAATGGACTACTATAAGAGATGTTTACTACATAGCCTAAAATTTATTGTCTTTGAAGCAGGTATAGGGACTCCACAGACATCAAGACAGAAAATCAGTGGGAATACAGTAAACTAGACAAAAATATAAAGATATGAGAAATATAATAGAAAACACAACAAGCTTAATGGAACATTTTTGAGAGCACTGTGGTGGGTTGACCTTGGCTGCCCACCAGATGCCCACCAAAGCTGATATATCAACTTTGCCCTCCTTAACTGGACAAGGGGAGAAAAGGATGATGAAAGGCTCGTGGGTTGAGGACACTGAGATCGCTCAACAATTTGGTTATCATCATGGGCAAAACCAAGTTGACTCAGGAAAATTAAGTTATTGCCAATTAACAGTGGAGTAGGATAAGAAGAAATAAGAACAGACCTAAACCCACCTTTCCTTCACCCCTCCCTTTTCCCCAGGCTCAACTTCACTCCTGGTTTCTCTAGCTTTTTCCCCCAAGCTGCACAGGGGGATGGAGAATGGAGGTTGTGGTCAGTTCATCAGGCATTCATTGTCTGTGCCATCCCTTCCTCCTCACACTCCTTCCCTGCTCCAACATGGGATCTTCCCGTGGGACACAGTCCTCCATGAAATTCTCTTACACGAGTCTTTCCCACAGCCTGCAGTTCTTCATGAACTGTCCAGCTTGGGCTCCTCTCTCCATGGGGCCACAAGTTCTACCAGGAGCCTGCTCCAGCACCATCTTTTCACGGGGTCACAGCATCCTTTGGGCACATCCACCTGCTCTAACACAGGATCCTCCATGATCTGCAGGCGGACCTCTACTCCACTGTGGACCTCCGTGGACCGTAGGGGGGCAGCTGCCTCACCATGGGACACCTTCTCCCCCTCCTTCTTCATTGACCTTGCTGTCTGCAATTTGTTACTCTTACATATTCTCAGTCCTCTCTCCTTGATGCCGTTGTACAGCAGCCTTCACTCTTTCTTAAATATATTATCCCAGAGGTCCTACCACCATCACTGATGGTCAAGATGGAGCGTCCATCTTGGAGCCAGCTGGAACTGGTGTTGTCCAACACAGGGGTAACTTCTGGCATCTTCTCACAGAATCCATCCCTGTAACGCCCCTGCTACCAAAACCCTTCCAAGTACACCTAATATAAGCACCCACATCATGCTTTTTTAGACCCCAGGTCTAATGCATCAATATGCAAACAAGAAAAATTAAACTTGCAATAAGGCACCAGCTTCTTTACACACGAACAAGTATCATGAATGTAAAAGGGTGAAGGTCTTGAATTTTCAGAATTAAAAGTTTTGGTCTGTGACACCTCAATTTGCCTAAGACCCACTAAATTTTATTTTAGATCTGGTCTAGACATCTGAGAATGGACCAAATGGTTTATGTTCGATTTGGGACTCCTAGTCACTACTAAATTAGATATAATTTGCAAAGCAATGGCCAGAGTGACATCCCCTCTAAGCGGCGCTCAGCTGATTATCCAAATCCCAGTCAAAGCTGATCAAGATATTTTAAAAAAAAACCTCCAGAAGATAGCCTCTTAACCCATACTGAGCTTACTTGGGAAACGTGGCTGCAAAAGATTTGAGTTCTTTGACTAGTCCCAAGTAGAAGTATAATATCAGTCTTTCCTGGTCATGACAGACTGTGAAGCAGCACATTGAATTTTACTAAGTATTTGATTAACTGACTAGGAGAGACAGTTTAACTGTCTATTAATATTGCAGTAAGTACTGGATGCCAGAGTATGCTGCTGATGTATGATTTCATTACAAACAGAATACCACCCAAATGAATATCTCAGTATAGCTAAATTAAAAACAAAACAAAAAAGAGCAACATAATTTTACTCTCTTAGTCCTAAAGCTTCCCATCTGAATAGGATTATTCAAATTGGCATCACTCAATATTTTTCCAGTATTCCTGTGAAACACAAATGCTTCTGCCTTATAGAGATGGAAAGAGGGACTATCTAAAGGTTGCAGCTAGGTGTTTGTAGCACCTCACCATTTAATATGCCCTCTCAATCCAAGTGACTGTTTTTGAGTCCCGAAAACCTCTGAAGATAGAAACTCTTCAGCTTTCCTGAACAACCTGCCCTAGTGCTGTACTACTTTCCTAGTGAAGAAATGTCAAATATAACAGATTTCTAAGATCGTGTCATTTATCAAGAGCAAAATCTAATGTTAAGTCTGCAATAGTATTTTTCCATCAGTGTTTGCACAAAAAAAATACCAAAAAACAGATGAATTCTCTTCTTTCAGTGCAAATGGATGGTGATATCTAGCCACAGCACAAAAAAACTCACCCAAACCGTCGTTGTTAATACCTGATACTATAATCCTTATTGCTGGTTTCCCATCTTTCATTTCTGTATTACAATTTAAGCATTTCTGTGATTGTGACTTAACCTTCATACAACTTCCAACAAAAGACAAAAGTATTGGAGAATTAAGGGATATTTCTGTTGCTACCAACTAATAGTTTTTTGGTAATTGCTGAGGAAGGCAATTCCCTGCTGATTTCCTGCAGATGAAATATTTTAACACCTTCTATTAAAAAACCTGCAGAAGTCATCTCTACCGAAGATTTTTACAGAATTTTGGTTCCTGGTGGAAGAGGAATTGTGACATTTGATGGAAATGCTGGTTGATGTGGCAAAGAGTAGTCATCTACCATTTGAGTATTTCTGTTCCAAAACCCCAGGATTTTCTATAAGGATTTTCTGTTCTAGCACTCTTTTCTTCTAATCAAAACTTAGAAAATCTCCATTGGAAAACAGAGAAAACATAAGACCCAACTTCTATCCCATTTCCATCCCAGAAATAACTGCACAATGATGCATTAAATACCGATTGGTCTTTTGTCAGTGTAAAGGTGAGATTCCTTATTATGTAAGAGGTATCCTACCCATTGTCCAGCTTCATGAACAAGAAGCAACAGAAGCTAATGAAAGATGTATTTCTGCTCACTTAGTCCCGAGTTACTTCAGTGAGGAGATTTGTAGCATTATTTTGGGAAGTAGTTCTAGAATCCTGAAGGCACTGACTGACAGGCAGCAAAACTTACCCTTTACCAGCAGAACCTTCCTTTTCTGCTTCAAAAAAACTGAGCTTGGCTAAATGCAAGTGAGCAGGAGATATCTTCTATGGATCATGGTGTGGCAAGAGTTCTAACACTGACTTTAAATTGTTCCACAGCTGTTCCTAGCATATGCATAATCTGCTGTTCAGATCTAGCCTCGTATTGCCAGTCTTAGACATTTTCCATTTTCCTGTCTGAACTTGTCTGGCTTTGAGCTATCAGTCTTCTCCTCAGTAGCACTTTGAGTCTTCACCTTATTTTGTATCATCTGTAAATTTTCTTGGTGTGATATTTATATTTTCTCCCTTTTTTTTAAATGTACTTAAGTACCAGTGGTAATGCAAATTCTGATGTCCAAGAGAGCATGTTTTTATTTGTAACCTGTTGCTGTCTCATGCAAGCATATCTTTGAGCCATTACATGTACTAAGCTCTTTCTTTCAGAAGTTTTATTTCTTGCTCTTTTAAGACTGCAGTTCTTTGATGTAAAGAAAGTTTCTGCCAATTTCCAGCCTAAATCTTCTCCTGGACAACTAGTACCATATACAATGTGTTTCTTAAAGCTCAACTTTAATCTTTGTTGAGATTCTCTGATGGTCAAAATTCTGCAAGGATATTTTACAAACTATTACACTAGGTTAAAGCCTCATGAATACTTATATACAATACAGATAAATAAGGAGCAATCATTCTTGTTCATAGTATACTTTCTCAGTAGAACAAATATTTAGCTTACACAGAAAACTGTAAATAAGTCACATCTTAAGTACTATGCTGACATTTAAATTAACTCCTCTAAATAGCCTGTTTCAGATGTCTTTATTGCTTATAGA